AATAATGACTGCGCTCCTCTGCAGGTAACTTCCGGCTCTGGTTGCATGGAATCCAACATACCGACGTCAGCTTGAACAATATGATGGCCGACGTAGCGACGAAGCGGGGTGTATTGATCGATTTTGACCTGGCCCGGATTCAGCGCGATGACCCCAGCGCGACTGGACGGGAGCGTACGGGCACCGTTCCATTCATGGCTGTTGACCTTTTGACGGAGGAGTATTTTGCTGGTCAGATTGCTCACCTCTACCGCCACGACCTTGAATCATGCATATGGGTTTTGACCTATGCGTTATTGTCGGATGCGGTTCCCGATGTCAAGGCTTGGCACACGAAGCATTTCGAGGGGTGCAGAACAAAGAAGATTGTCTTCTTAGCCGACTTGAATGAATACTCTGCGTTATCTGCCAAAAATTCTCTGTGGGAGACGATCGGCAGCGACGCCCTCTATTGGTTGAAGGATTCATTGCAGCGTGTGGATATCACCCAAAGTCAGCGGGTGCGTAACGCTCGACATCCAAGAACTCGACACAACATCTCAAGCGAGGAAGAGAGGTTTTCGGAGCAGTGGATGAGCAGTACTCTGGAAGCAGCCTCCGCAATCATTCAAGACTTTGAAGAATTTCTGGACTTGGAATTGGCAGATTTAGGGTTTGCTCCACTCACACAGGATAAGCTGTTCGTTCCCTCCTGAATGTAGATAAGTATCCTTGACGGTTGCAATCGTGCAAATTTTCGGTTACCTCCAAGGATCCTCCAGAGATCGTGTATTGAACCCGAGAAGTACTGCCAGAGCGGCTCAAAATTCATCATCACGGTGGCCCCATCCGGAGCGCTACCGCGGGCAATATCCAAAGGTCGAACGTTGAGTAGCAAACATGCGTCGAACACAGCTCGCAGGAGACAGCGAGTTTTCATTGTGTTCGGAGCTTAAACATTTAGAATGTCCGACTGCCAAATATGGGTGATGGGCAGCTGCTGATTGGCTGAACACCCCATATTTGACGGATATTACCGCAATGTCCGACAAACATGTTCGAGCTCCGAACATAATCAGGAAATGCTGTCTCCAGCGACCGATGCTTTCCCTATGTTCAGCGCTCGACCTTTGGGCATTTCCCGCAGCGCCATAAACACGCTATGGACAAGCAGACGCAAGTTTCGGACTGCAGTCGATTGGCCTTTCTGGGTGGCTACGTCAGGCAATTTACCACGTCGATTTTCTCCAGCTTGCCCATATTGGGGACAATAGTCTCATGGGGAGATGTTCAAGACAAAGTCAGCAATATGCAAATACTAATCTTCGAGAGTCCGAGCAAGACCTAGTAGTCCCCCAATAGACTGCAGCCATAAGTATATAGATTTAGGAGAAAGGAAATAGAAACAAATTCCAAGCCACACTTGCGCAAGCCACAAGGCCGCACCTCCCTCCAGGTGATCAAAATGATCTACAAAAACTCTGTCAGATGGTGCCACTCGTGGACATGCGGGTGTCCACGCATCTCAAGTCACACCGTGATTTTGAGCAGCCCGTCCACGCGTGCAGTGGTATAGTAGTTCTCGTCCATGAATGCGACGTGAGCCATCAAAAACCCCTGCTGGACGACCACACATGTGTGTAGCGCGTTGATCTGTAAAAGGAATCACAGGCTCGGGGGCAGTCTCACTATAAGCCCATTCAGGCTCAGCAGGTTCCGCGAACTGCACATATAGCCGCTGCCGGCTGAAAGCGTAGACTTTCAGTTAGCCTGCCTTTTGGCGGAACGGTCGGGCGCAGCGGCTCCCGGCAGGGTTACACTCGTATGCAGTTGCTAGCAGCAGCAGGAAAGATACAGATAAGAGAGTAGGGATGAGAAGCAGAGTTAGCGCGGACAAAGGGCAGAGCGGGAAAGAGCGGACACTGTGACGAAGCCGAGCACGTCTGTCGATGCCTCAATGCGCATTGAGAGCGCTTGCGTGCACCGGAGGACGAGACGAGCCACGTAGCGACGGTGGCGGCGACATCTTTAGAGAGCATCACAGTGAGACTACGCAGCTCGATGACGGAGGGTAGGACGCGCCATACGATGGCGTCCTACCCGCGACGGCGCTGAGTTCACACGGCGTTCGGAACGCAGGATGTGCAGCGGGCGCTGGTCGTGCGGGAATGTGGAGATGGTGGGGAAGATGTCATGGTCGTCGACACCGTAGCTGAGGAGGGAAGACGAAAACATGGCTCAAGAAGGGCAGTGCGCGTATGTGCTCGCAGAACTGCACGTATGTGTCGCAGTCGAACCTAGCTTAACCCTTTAAACGTAGACCTCTCTCTGAGCTCGCGCCATAAATGATTCCCAGCTCTGGATAGTTAAGGGTCGTGGTGGCCGTGGAGCTGTGGTTGTGCACGTCGACCACACTTGGTCTCAGCTGGCCCACCGCATCTCGTGAAGGCAGGTGGATGGGTATTGCAGTGGGTCACGTACGTTGCCGGTTCCTGGTGGTTATGTGACGGACGATACTCACCATTGGTTGCAGAATCCTGGGCAGAGGGACACGGACAGGCTGTTATCAGGAGTGGATGGAGACGTGTGGATGGGCGCCGAAACGAACGAGCGGAGGCGTACATCGAGAAAGAGCAAGGCAGTGGCGGCAAGGGGAAAGGGCAGTGCGGGGTTGGAGGGGCTAAGGGTCATGGTTGTAGAGTCAGTAGAGTGTCCACATCGTCCGTTTGAGCCGCATAGAGACTTGTGCAACCTGCCCGTTGGAGGCGGGGCGGGGACGGTGCGCTGTGTTGCGTTGGGTTGCAGTTCCGCTACTGTGACGTCTGACCTGCCCTGCACGCCATGCCTACTGGTGAATATGAGTGCATAGAAATGGCTGCACCCACCGTGTACAATACAAGGCCTTCCACGCCAGTTCAACCTATAGTGTGCGGTGACTACTACTCCAACTCGCAGAGTACCAGTATTCCCCACCACCACACGCATGAATCTCATATTCGTCCTGGGCATTTTCGCGTATACCAACAGACTTAGTGCACGCCGAAGGTCAAGTATTGTCGTCGGCACAGGGAGGCGAGCGTGGTCGATAGACAGCGACTTCGAGTCAGTTGTCAAGTTGTTGCGGCAGCCAATGGGCGCTTACAGACCGTTATAGCGCGCCTCGCACAAGGACCTCGGCTAATCCCCTATGAGCTTTGATCCCAAAGTTACCGAAATGAAGGGTCTCCAGAACCCTTAGGACCGATCCCCGAAGGCCGAATATAGGTACCGCCAGCCTCCATGTTATGTCTCATATGCCGCCGAAACGAGGGTCTCTGGTGGGATCTTTGATGCCATGACCACCAAATTGGGAGTCCTGCACCGGTAAGGAGTATTTCTGATCTTGAACAGCTTGGCTACCAAACACTTTCAGCCATGCTTCCCAAGTAGTCTCATAAAACCAGTCATTCAAACACATTTGGAAGCTGCCTTTTCAGGAGATGTTGGTGTTTGAAAAGGTGCTTGCATTCTAATGACTGAGCAAACTGGTTGCACTTTCTGGTGGGGACACCAGATTTGGGGAGTTGTGTGAAAATGCACTTCAAAACATTGTGTTGCTTGCTCTTCACCCCCTTGGAGGCATCTCTTCTCTCTTGGAGGTGCCTATTGTTGAAATATAATAGTGGCAATAAACCTTACCTGTGTTGACTAGAC